GCGTGAGTTTAAGACCATTATCCACAAACTTTAAAATAAAACGGAAATGAAAGGGAAAGGAAAAAATATATATATACATGTATTATCAAATGACCGGATATAAGCGTCCTTGTCGAACATAATTTCAATGAAGAAATGAATTGAATAAACATATATATTTTTTTCTTTTCTCAATAATTTTGTAGTTTTAAACTTAATAGTGATTAAATTTGGATTTTAAAATTACCAATTTTTAATTTTAATATTAAATTTTATCATATGATTTTATAATTATTAGTTAGTATAAATTATTTTTAATATTACACGTATTTAAAGATCTGAATAGCTATTATAGCAGGATTTCGTTGTCAAGCTTTTTGAATCTTTCTATACTTCGTTTTGATTGGTTATTCTAGCTTTTGTAACAATGCTCCCCTAGTGTAGGATCGTTAATTAATCTGAAACTTTTTAAAACCATTTATTTTATTTTCAACATCATCACTTGAGAAGACACAGAATGTGTTGAAACAAAACGGCTATTTTTGTAGTGATCTTATAACATACTTATGTTATAATTTTTTTATAAAAAATAATTATATATATATATATATATGTTAAAAATAATACAAGTTTGCCCCGGTGAAAAAGTAGCGATGATTTGTGAGTTGTTTATTTTCGTCATTTTGCTTTCATATGTTGTTTTTTTCCTTCTTTTTTGTTGCCACCCATTTTATTTATCCCAAGACTCCCAATTTGAAATGACCTGATCTAGACATGTCAGTTTTATATCAGGGATTTCCATATTGTAAAAATATAAAATCTACTAAGGATGGTGTATAATGTAACAATATGGACGTAAAATTTATTGTGGCATTATCCAGACATTTTCGTTTCAGTGGATTATTTTTAATCAAAGTAGCATTCTCTAAGATAAAATTGTGATCAGTTTTGTTACCAATGCGTTTTGTGTGTTGTTATTTAAAATGTTCTCTTTGTGTTCAAAAATATTCTTTCAAAATTTTGAAACTACATGCGTCTCTCGCTTGGTGCGCATGTGAAGACGGCAATATCAACAAAGACTAGGCCAGTGAAATCATAAAGTATGAAACGCATCACAAAAAAAAACAAAAAGAAAAAGACAGTTTGTCATATTTTTCTCAATACTTTCAATATATAAAATTGTAAAAAATTGTATATCGTTATATTATATATATATATATATATATATATATATATATATATATATATATATATATATGTGTGTGTGTGTGTGTGTGTATTAGTATTATGAAGTGTTACATTACAACATGCACATACCCACTACAAAAATGTACAACTTTTTTAACGTCAAAAACTTTTTTAACGTTTCATCAAGTCGGGATTTTTACCGTTGAAACAAGATGTACAGTGTTGTGGTGGGTATGTGCATGTTCTAATGTAACACTGCATAACAAATAAATATATACGGCTCTACTTTTGTATCGAGCCCTGTTTTAAATTAATGTTTTGAACGCTGAAATTTTACTTTTGGTTCTTTTTCTTTTGTATATATATATATATATATATATATATATATATATATATATATATATATATATATATATATATATATATAAGGATAATGGCTAGCGGTATGGACTGAGGAATCGGAGAGCCGAGTTCGAAATCTCAGTCGAATCAATTACATCCACTTACGTGCTAATAGCCTGGGGAATGGTGTGAATCCTCTTCTTCTCCCTCCAGCAGGACAGACTGAGTTCTACAGCCTTGGATAGCAACTGGTCTAGGAGAAGCACAACTCTGAATTCAAAACCTGCGGAGGGTCGTTTGGGGACCTTGAGGCACGTAGTGCACCAGATCTCTGTATTCGGCCCTTCAAAAAGGTGTGGATGGTCCTGCACGAAACCTTCACCACTATAATCAAATCTCATGTGTTGTTGTCGGGCTGTGGTTTCCTAGGAACTGATCTGCTTGACCCTCATACGACGAATCGACGGGAGAGTCGAGAGAGAGAGAGAGAGAGAGAGAGAGAGAGAGAGAGAATATATTGTGAAACGGAAAAAGTCCGACAATTATTTTTAAGACATTTTTTATGTTTATACGTTCTTTTTAAAGATATAGATACAAATATTTAAGTAAATGCTCTGTTTATAATAAACAGTATTAAATAACATTTACCGGCCTGAATGTCCGAGAAATTTTCATAGAAAATATGCGTCCTCCGACAGGAATCGAACCTGTATCCTATGTACCAGTATCCTATGAACCTGTATCCTATATGACGCTTCCGTATAGTAGGATACAGTTTCGATTCCTCTCGGAAGACACATATTTTCTATGAAATTTATCGCACATTCAGGCCGGTAAATGTTGTTAATACTGTTTATTATAAACAGAGCGTTTACTTGAATATGTGTATCTTTAAAAAAGAATGTATAAACAGAAAAATGTATTATATATATATATATATATATATATATATATTGCGTCTAGCATGATACAGCCTGTCGCTTCTGAGTGTTTACTTTAATGCTCACTTTTATATCCCATAAATATAGCACACCTTAAAACTATATTCATTCATTATATATATATATATATATATATATATATATATATATATATATATAATGGACTCTCCCAACGACGGTTTCGACGTATGAGGATCTGCCAGCTTATTGATTCATTTATGAAAATATATGCGATAATCTTAAGTGTCATTTAAGAGCCTCTAGTGATTTAAAAAGGAGGCCACATATGGAGCAAGTGTGAGGATTGTGAGATGAGATCACTGTTAGATTGGCTGACCTTTAGATATTGCTCTTGCTTCGTGAAGATGATTCAGACAAGCAGATTGAAAATTGCTGAATCCACTAAAACATGTTGATCTCTATTCTACCCGCTCCAAGGTTAAGCGCTCAAGGGTGTTATGTGGTATATTGACTGCTGACAAGTTGCTTTTCAGCTTGTGTTTGTATCCTAGCCATGGGCATCCTACATTCTTGTAGCCCTGATCTAACTGGCTCTACATTAGGATCTTGGGTATCCTGTCATCAGACATTCTCAAGACATGACCAGTCCACTGTAACTGAAACTGTTTGATAAAAGTCTCGATTCCTTCAATATTACACCTGTTAAACAGGTCTCCGTTAGATGTATATATATATATATATATATATATATATATATATATATATATATATATATATATATATATATAGGGGGTTTATAATTATAACTGATATTAACATCAGTTTATTATAATAAACCAACGTTAAAAAATCCCCACCTGAAGAAACGTTAAAAAAAAAGTTAACATTGGAACAAAATGTACAGTTTTGTAGTGGGTATGTATTTTTTAGTTTTTTCTTTCCTACTCTTTTGTTTTGTGACAGGTTTTTATTTTTATTTTTTTTTATTACCCAATATCACGACAGAAGATTTGTGAAGAAAGATGAAATCTTGTAAGCACCTGGATGCAAATTGACCGCAAATGTCTCAGAAACAAGTTTTGTGTCCATTAGTAAATTACTTTCCATTAATTAAAGCAGGCTTGTTTTTACATCAAAATTATAGCCAGGCACATTAAGACGAACGCCTAATGCATTGAGTGTGTCATATTATAAAACTTACCTTTTGTATTCACATATTTTATGCAAATTCCTCTAAATGCATGTATTTATATTCTTTGTAAATTCCTGAATTCTGATTTCCCGTTATTATTATTATTATTATTATTATTATTATTATTATTATATATAATATGTTATATATATATATATATATATATATATATATATATATATATATATATATAAAAATTCTTAAACACTAATATTCCATTGTTTTGTTTTTCCATTGGAATCGTAAATATGATCCAATTCATCAGAACTACAAATTCCAAAATTTTTTTTTTAATTTGTAGTTCTAATGAATAGGATCGTATTTACGATTCCAATGGAATAAATTATGACCATGGAATATTAGTGTTTATTTTTATTTTATTATATCCTTACCCTGTCCTGAACATTGAGTTCAACCTGGATTCTATCCTCTTGGAATTATTTTTTATCCAAATATATATGTATGCGTAAATGGAAAAACCGAATGAAAAAAGAATGTTAACAACAAATACTTTTTCATACCCAACCCAGTTCTGCGGAATCAGAATCAACGCTGAGTTTAAGCAAGCGAATGAGTCAATTGGAGTAAAGTGCCATGCAGTTTTAAATTTTTCCCACTTGTGACGAATGCAACTATTTTTGTATGCTAGCATATTAGTTAACATTCGTGTCAGTCAGCTGTTGGCTCTCATGCTGGCCAATAGAATCTTCCTGACTATTCGTAGCAGCCAGCTATAGGCTCTCACTCTGGCCAGTACAAAATGGCCGCAAACTACATGAAAACTGCCGTAGAAGCATGAAAAATCGATTATTTCCACTATCGATATGAGTTGGGAAATGCCAAGTCTGTCTTGGCCTTCCCGCTAACTTGGAGCATGTGCATGTAAATTTCGGTGCAAACCGTCGAAAATTGCGACCGTGCATTCGTTACACACACGCACGCACGCACGCACGCACGCACGCACACACACACACACATATCCTGCTGTTTATAGATAGAGATAACTATTCTGGATTTTTATTGTATTCTTATCGGGTGAAAGAACGTATATGACATCTATTTTTATGTGATTTACGAGAGACCTAGTTTTAGGTCATTATTAGGATGGTTTAACATAATATCAAGAAAAGGTAATCAACTAAATAAATATTAATTTTATTACCATACATGTCTATATAGGATTGTTTTCCGATCTGTAATCATTTGATTTTGGTGACATTATTACTGTTTCGATTTGATCATAGAGTAGGTCTTTTTGTTTGATTATTGTTTTCTATTATTATATATATATATATATATATATATATATATATATATATATATATATATATATCACTTTTAAGGATGGAACAGGTTTTATGTTTGATTAATAACGTGATACCTTTATAAATGCAAAGATCTATTTATCTATCTATCTATAGTTTTCATTATCTATCTTCCTTCCTTTCTTTTTATCTATGTTTTCATTATCTATCTATTTCATTATCTATCAGTCTATATTTTTCATTATGCATCTATCAGATTGTCATTATCTATCTATCTATATCTATCTATCTATCTATCTATCTATCTATCTATCTATTTCCTTATCTATCAGTCTATGTTTTTTCATTATGTATCTATCAGTTTTTCACATATATATATATATATATATATATATATATATATATATATATATATATATATATATACATATATTTCTCATTATATACTCTTTGTCTCTATATCTATTTATATATGTTTTTTATTATCTCTATTTTTCATACGTATAATTTTAGATTATCTATCTATCTATCTATCTATCTATCTATCTATCTATCTATCTATCTATCTATCCCTTAATCTGATCACATCTGTCTCTCTATCTATCTACTTATCTATCTCTCTATCTTTCTATGTATCTATCGTTTAATTTAAAATCACATATACAAATATACGCGTATATATATATATATATATATGTGTGTGTGTGTGTGTGTGTGTGTGTGTGTGTGTGTGTGTGTATGTTTATGGAGTTTTGTTTTGATGACATATCAGCGGTGGCCGTTACCACATCCTCCGTTGTGAACAGAATCGACGTCGATATTGACTGGATAGTTAATTGTCTGAGCTTAGATGGCTCCCCAAAGAATACTTTGCCCCTGAGAAGAAAGCAATTCCTGATTCACAGTCCGTGTTTTCTATAGAGCCACTGACTGCAATCGAAAATGGATTTGCTGCCATCGAATGAGATGGGCGTAGTTCAGACGAATCTGCCTGTAAATTCTTCCAGGAATCTTACAAGGTTGGTAATCAGATCATTATTTATTAACAGCCGAGAAAATTAATAAAAATAGGAGACGAAGGCAGAAATACATTCTTGAAAATGTTGACAGAATAGAAATGACTATTTTGCAGAAAAAGTAAAAAGTGAATATGAGGAAGAAAGAAAAGAAATGCAAAGAAGTAAAGTAAAGAGAAAAAATGGAGTCCAGAAAAATGAAAAGAATTTGTAATAACTGAAATGGTTTCGTGAAAGTAAGCATAAAAGGAAAAGAGAAAGAAGAAAGTATGATTAAATCATCGTGAACAAAGGAAGAAGGAAGGAGCGAAGGAAGGAAGAAGGAGAAAATATTCAAAAGAAGGAAGAAAAGGAAGGAATGAAAGATAAAGACAAAAAACAAAAGAAAGAAATAAAGAAAGAAAGAAAGAAAGAGAGAAAGAAAGAAAAAAGAGAAGAAGGAAGGATGGATAGGCGGATGGATAAAGGGAAAAATAATCAAAATAAAGCACAAAAAAAGAAATAATGAAAGAAAGAATGAGGAGAAAATATACAAAAGAAAGAAAGGGTGAAGAGAAAATGCAAGGAACGATAAGAAAAAATTACAAAAGGAAGAAAAAAAGAAAGAAAGAAACAATGTAGAGAAAAACATACAAAAGAAAGAAAGAAAGAAAGAAAGAAAGAATTGGAAGAAAGAAAGAAAGAAAGAAAGAAAGAAAGAAAGAAGGACTGGATTAAAGTAAAAGAGAAAAGGAAGAAACAAATTGATTAAAAAGAAACAAAGAAAGAAGTGAAAGAAAGAAAGAAAGAAAGAAAGAAAGAAAGAAAATAAAAGAAAAAAAAAAAAGAAAAGGAGAAAATATACAAAAGAAAAAAACATATAAAAGAAAGAAAAACATATAAAAGAAAGAAAGAAAGAAAGAAAGAAAGAAAGAAAGAAAGAAGGAAGGAAGGAAGGAAAAAGAAAGAATGAATAAGGAGAAAAAATACAACAGAAAGAAATTAATACAAGAAAGGAAAAGTAAAGCAACGAATAAGAAGAAAGAAGAGAAAAAAAGAATGTGCAAGTAAGAAAGAAAAGGATAAACAAATAGAAATAAATAAATAAAGAAAGAAAGAAAGGAAGAAAGGAAGAAAGAAAGAAAGGAAGAAAAGAAGAAAGAAAGAAAACAAGGAAAAAGAATGAAAGGAAGAAGTTCTAAACGAAAAAATAGAAGATGGAAAGGAACAAAAAAAAAAGGAAATAAAACTGATAATAAGGAAAGACAAAGGAAAACTTTATAAATACAGTGTAACCCGGATATAAGAGAGTTGTCGGGAGCGGAGAAGAAGTCTCTTATATCCGGGTTTCTCTTATATCCGGGTCTCTTATATCCGGGTTACACTGTACCCAATAAATAAAATAAGGAAGTTAAAAGAGAAAAAAAAAACACGGGTAAAAAACAGTAGAAATTAAATAAAAATGAAAATCGATTATCATCGTAATAAATGACTCGAATGAATGGAAAAGATGTTTCCAAATGTAACAAAAGGTGGAAAGAGATGAATAGAAACAAAGAAAAACCAAAAAAACTCATTTACCAGACTCAAACAAAAAAGTAAACATATTAAAGACGTTTGCAGAACGAAAAAAAGAAAAAAAAAACATTAAAGAAAGTAAAATACGAAAAAAATCAATATCCATTCTGAAGACATTGTACATTTATTGAATTATGGTTTTTATTGATTGGCTTCTTTTTCTATTTTTTATGGGTTATCAACTCTTTGTGGTTTATTTAAATTCGAATCATGTTTTGGGGGATTGAATAATAACGATTTCTCTTTTTCCGAGTGAATACTGCATTAACAGTTTTTGGGATATAACAATAAATTTTCTAGATAGACGTCTTATTATTTAACCCATAGCTGGGGGAGGAGGGTCTTCCATATGTTTCCTAAAGGTATTTGTGCGTAAGTACTCAAATCAGAACTCAGCTCTGCGTTTTCTCCTTCCTAGCCCCTACACATTTCCACCACCTTCATCCCTTACTGAGTGAGGACAAAATGGAATAAAAGCACTGACAATTTCGGGAAAAAAAACAGTTAAAAGAACTTCATAAAAGAAAGTTAAAGATGTCTTCCTGACTTAGCAGTCTTTTGTTGGAAACAAAGATTGCTGAACTGCTATGTTGTACTAAAAGCCAATGAATCCTGGAGAATTTCCTCCCAGATAAGAAACAGGCTTAAAGCAAAAGAAATTTGGTTTTAACAACGACTGCTGTGAATGCGAAGACCGTGAGAGCAAGGAAGAATTACAAAGAAACTGAAAGACATAGTTGTAATTTCTGAGGCACATACGGGGGAAACAGGGCTTAGAGAATAAAATACTCATAAGGCAAACTAAATGCAGTGAATAAACAATTTAACGAGTTGTTGTGGGACATATCGCAGATCAAAAACGATAACTGTGGTTAAATGTCAATATTTACTTAGAGCACCAATATGACAGAATGCAGAGGCTGGGCCAGGATGGAGAGTAATTAGTAAGATTATCACGTGAGTGTATAATTCTGAAAGAGGGATTGCCTTTTCTCTTTGTTTTCGATATGAGTACAAAACGGCGCGATGTCGTCAGAGTGTCGTGAGAATTTTGAACCGTTGACTCGCTTTCTCCACCCAGATACTTTAGAAGGTATAGTCCCCACGTGGCGGAATGCCAAGCCATCGGGTAGGCATACGTTCTCCTGAGGTTCTCCTTCCCACTGTCCTCTGGAAGTGAAGCTAGCACTTCTTCCGCTCGTCTATAAAAAAACGAATTATAAAAAAAATAAAAGCTCTTCCGTTAATATAATCTATGAAGTGACGTTGGGGTCTGAAGAGCTGAGGCCAGTAGATACGCGAAACGCAAGAACAAGAAACTGGAGGGAGACATGACTGATGATTGTCGGTTTAGATATGTTAAGTTGATATGATGCCTGTGAATTTCTTGAGATGGGGACCTGATGTGTCATTTGTTGCCGTGCAGTAGAGGAAATTTTACGTGTTCATTTTATATTGTTGCTAGAAAATGAGTGGAAGGAGACCGAAGCAGTGGATTAACATGAATTAGTAAAAGTGATCGTAAAATTTTAGCTCCATTAAGAATGGCTTATTGTGAACATGTTACAAGAACAAGGAATCATTTTTTTTTTTGAGTGGAGCAAAGGGGGCTCAAGCAAGGACGAGAAAATATGCAAGATGATTCAAGACTTGTGTTACCCCAAACACAAAGAACAGAAGCAAATGTGTTTTGTAACTGCTTAAAGGGTTACGAGAAGGTGTTCGGAAGAAAAGAGCTAAATTGTCCCAGGGAGTGAAACCCTGTGATACTATGAAAACGATTTCAGGGGATTCTGGCTAAAACGAATTTCCCTACAAGAAAGGGCCTCTACGTTATTAACCAGATTTGAGCTCCTGAGATTATTGGCTATATCTGAAATTGAAAAAAAAAAGCTTATGAAAAAGAAAAAAAATACTAGAATCTCTTACATGCAACAACTGGTGAGTATGTTACTGAAAGGTATTCCAGAAAAAGAGTTCCAAGAATAGTCCCAGCAAAGAAATGCATGGCTTCACAACGGGAATTCTTTGATGGAGATGCAAACAGTTTTAAACAAGCAATTTTATGGAATTAAATTCTTACCTGTTGTATCATTGCGTCTTAGATGCCATGTATATTTTTCCTTGAAAAGCAATATTTCCTCTTTCTCAAGAAATATACACTGCACAAGTTCAAAGAATAAATCACCGTCATTTCGCATTTGAAAATCAACAGTGTGTCCAATTGTCGCTAAACATATAATTTGGCATAACCGAGCATTATCATATATGAGTTGTCAGCTAATAATCTAATATTGGTCTGGATTTCTAACATGAGGAGTTACTATTTACACATGGACTATTGTCCTCATCTTTATTATTATTATTTTTATTTTCTTTGATTTCTGGCGTTTACACATATCTTTCCGGGTCCCTCCCAGAGACCTAAGGTTAGAAATGGCAGCATGACACTTTCCACTGACAAAAAAAAAAAAAAGAAATTACATAGATAAAGCCCTTCGTAAAGTGTGGGCTGTATTTGTCAGAACAATTTTTTGTATCTTCTTGAGGCATGGACTTCCAGGAATCCCTTCAATTAGTCTACTGCAATCTTTTCCAACCAGTCCTAGGGCTCTAACTACAACAGGGATTGTTGATGTTCCCATATGCCACATTTTCGAGATTTCTATTTCAAGGTGCTTGTATTTTGACAGCTTTTTGAATATCTTCAAAGATACATTGCAGTCAGCAGGGACTGCCATATCAATATTATTATTATTGTTATTATTGCAACATTTCAGTCGTTATGCTCTCCAACCATCATCAAGTGCTTATCGATCAGTGTAACCTTTAGGTAATTGCGAACTGAACCCTTTATTTAATATATGGATTAGATTGTTCTTGGTTTGTTTGAACTTGTTTTGGCATATCTTCATTTTTTACGACAGTTTAGTTATTGCTTGCTCCGTTTCCACAGAGTATAATTTGGCATTACCCTGATTAGTGATTGAACTCGCAATTTCGGTGTCACCAAATTTCTGAACGATCGGTTTAATTCATTAGGTCATTGTCCCGTGGTACAATCCTGAGTGTAG